GTTGCAGGAGTACAACCTGCAAATCGAGTAAAGAGCTGGGCGTACACACATAAACGCGGACGCCTTGTCGAGGCGACCCGCGGTGTGCGCCGAGACAAGGGTGGAGGAAGTCTGCCCGTGCTTCACTGGGGGCCGTTGCTGGCAGGTGGCGGGTCCCCAGGAGCGCACCGAGACTAACCCTCCTCCGGTGAGAGACAGTGCAGTATGTGCCACAGAGACCCCGGCAGGAGGGACCTGGGACCCGGAGGACCATTCGGCGGGCATGGACCCACACCCCGGGGCCCAACGGGTCGCTCGACCCCACCCGATCGGATCCAGGAGGACGTCGGCTGCGCCTTCCCGGGTCTGGATGACGAGCAGCTGAGACGGACCCAGCTGCGGGATCCAGATCTGGAGGCGGTGGAAGCGGCCCTAAGGGAGAAGAAGGATGCCCTACCCGGACCCCGGAGTGGTTTGTATGCCCGGTTGTGCGTGCAGAACGGGGTTGTTCCGGGAGCTAATTGAAGCCGGCCGGCCAGGGTGCATCTGCGTTCCCGCCCAGGTGCGACCCCAGCTGTTAAGACTGGTGCATGACCACCCGCTCGGGGGCCATGACGGGGAACGGCGCACTCGGGAGACCCTGCGTCGCCAGTATCTCTGGCCCAAGTTAGCACAAGATGTGGCCGCCTGGGTGCAGGGCTGCCGCGTGTGTCAGCAATGCAGGTCGAAACCAGCACGATACCAGGTACCCCTGAGACCGTTCTGCGTCAGCTGGACGAATCAGCTGGTTGGGATCAACCTGCAGGGGCCATTGCCGCGAACCCACCGAGGCAACCGATATATTCTCGTAGCGGTGGAGTACTTCACACGCTATCCGGTAGCGGTGGCCATCCCCAATAAGACAGCCCTCGTAGTGGCCCCAGCATTCGTGGTACACTACGTACTTAAGCACGGGATCCCCGAATGAGTCATTACTGACCAGGGTAGTGAGTTCGAGGCAGAGCTATTCCAGGCGCTGTGCTGGGAGTTCGGGATCCAGAAGGACCGAACTACGGCGTATCACCCCCAGGCAAATGGGATGGTAGAGAGGATGAACCAGACTCTAACCGGGAAGTTTAAACGCATGGCGGCCGTGAATCAACGGGACTGGGACGAACACCTCCCCTATGCTCTGTTCGCCTACGCCACCACAGTACACACCTCTACGGGACAGACCCCATTCCTAATGATGTTTGGTCACGAGTCTTGCCTGCCCGCAAATTTACTGTTCGGTGTCCCGCCGCCACAACGGGAGGAAGGGAGCCGCCCCGTGGAGCACCTGATGAAGACCCTACGAGGAGCTAGGGTCCGGGCCTACCCGCAAGGCGAGGCCGCACACCAGCGGCAGGAGCAGGGCGCCCGACCCCGAATGGAGCCCCCCTTCTACACGATGGGCTCTAAAGTGTGGCTGCACACCCCTCGCGTCGGGACCGGACAGGTGGGGAAGCTAACCACCTATTGGTGGGGACCCTGGACCGGGGGGCGACAGATCTCCCCCTGAATGGTACTGATTCAGGGGGAGAGAGGGGCCGGGAGATGGTAGTCAATGTCCGGCGACTAAAACCATGGAGGGCGGCCCCAGCGAGGGAGAACCCCGCCGTTCGAGAACCCCGAAACCCCGGGGTCTCCACACCCCCCATACCCGGGGGCCTCGCACAGTATATGGGCCCCACGGAGCCCCGGGCCCCAGGCGATCCTGACGCGAGGCAGGAGAGACGGGGACGACGGCCCCTGAACCCTACGGCCCCCAAGTTTGTCTCCCAGCCCGCAAGTACCCAGGACCGGAGAGAACCACTGGAGTGGAGGAGGAGACTGCTGCCGGAACCCCGAGAGACGGAGCCACCACCACCGAGACCAGCCACGAGAGCCAGACGAGTCTCGCGGACCCTGCGGCGCTAGCACGTAGGGGCAACCCAGGCGAGGTGCTCCAGTCAACCCAGGACGGGGACTGGCACCTCGGGGGGCTGTGTGGTGCCGCCGCAGCGGAGCCGCTCCGTCGGGGACGTACCCACCGCCGCGACGCCGCCACCGGTGCCTTGGATTTCCCGCCACTCTCGCGAGTCCTGTGCTTTCTCAGACGCCCGCGTTTTACCCACTACACAGTTGTGGGGCCGCCGCAGTGGAGCCGCTCTGCCGGGGCCGTGCCCACTGCCGTGACGCCGACACCGGGGAGTGACGGCGCCGACGCGGCGCGCCCCTCGCTGCCCCCTCCCCTGCATGAATGCACGCACACCCCATGTAGGGCCGGGAGCGAAGGTCACCTGACCGACAGGTTTTTATCCAGAAGCCCCTAATCGGATCAAGCTTCATGGTTTCCTGCGGCCGGGAAATTGGGCAATCTACCCCCGAAGTTGACATGCACCGCGGCGCCGTGACCTGATGTTCAAGTTACATGGTCATGGCAGAGGCCATGGAGCCACCACGAGTGAAACTGCACACACACAAACACGAGAACAGCGGGACGCCTTTGTTATAGGTAGGATTGGGGATCAGGATGAAAATATCAAAGGGACAGGAATAGCCAAGCCTCTGATTGAACAGGGTGGCACGGATGCAACTGAATGCCTTTGTGATAGGGAAGATAAAATGAGGAGGGTTGGGGCAGTGGAGGCAGAGTTCTTCCAGTCATCGAAGTCCACGGAGCATTGGAGCCGGCCGTTCGGATCGTCCGTGCGACGAGTTTCAGCGCAGCCAGGCACGATCTTCTACGGAGACGACCCACAGCATCGCCCTTCTACAACTTCCAGCGCATCAGAGTGGAAGTAAGCCTGAGTAAGAGAGAGGGGTAAGTTTGGGCTATTTAATCGAAGGTAGAAAGCGGAGCGATAGGCAGGATAAGTTGAGTCTGTGATCCTCGAAGGATAGGCTAGCGTCTACTGACCCACGCAAACCCACGTAGTTTAGTGGGTTACTCGCAGTGAATAAAATAGCTAGTAGGGGGATAAACTGTGTCGTGTGGTCTTTGTGAGTGTGAAGAGGAGGGTGGAGTGTCTTGCGTTCGCGTGCACGCTCGGTTGTTTACAACGAGGCAGAGCGCTTAGCATGTGTGTGCGTACGCGGCTGTTTACGGGAGTACTTAGCGCTCGCGTACCTGTGCGACTGTTTTGCAGTCGCGTGCATGCGCGGTTGTCTATATCGCGGTAGAGAGCTAAGCGCCTGGTGCGCACGTATACGCGCGGCTGTTTAAACGGCCCTTTAAATTGGAGCGGAGTGACGCCCTCCAATCAGCGGCACGCGCGCGGCAGACGCCTCTGCCCTCTCGCCCCCGACCCCAACCCCCTCGCATGTGATTGGTGTACGGGGCTGGGCAAGTAGCGGCGTCGGGTTTGTTTTTGCCTGGACGGATAGAGCATGTGTGTGGGGGAGTCACGCGTCGGAATACCGTATCCGTTTGTTCACGCGCGGGACGGAGTCTTGCTTCGCGAGTACGCTCACCGCAGCACGTCGCTACTGAATCCTGCGTAGCACTACATAAACGCAAAGCCGCCGGCCTCACCAATTGAGCCATGCCTACGCGGTCGGCAGCAAAGTCAGGGGCACCGGGGGGCGAGGAGTTGGAGGTCGGTAACCCCAACCCCACACAACAGCCGGGGGGTAGTAATCCGAATGTAATGGAGGAGTCGGGGATCAACGGCCTCGACAATTCGGTGATGGCGGGGGACGGTAGCCCCCACAATAGCAGCCACTTCAGTTGTGATAGCTAGGGCGATTCTGAAAAAAGAGCGAAATATCTCATGGGGCCTTACCTGGTAAAATAAAATTAAAAAATGTTTAGATTAGCGCACCGCACTACGAATCCGACAGAGACCCAAGTTCAATTCCCGCTCACGGCCACCAACGTCAGTGACGATTATCTGAACCGGTCCTGGGCCTCCCCTAGGTCGACTCAGCCTCAAATGAGTAGTTGGCCTTACCTGGTGACATTAAAAAATAGTTTGGTTTGTATATGCCCGCCTGCTTGCTATTTGCTCAACTGCCTGATGTCACCACGTATGTCGTGAGACCGCGTTTTGGCTCAATGATACGTTTCGTTGTCCAGACGAGGGGTTAAGCAGGGAAGTGGAGGCGTGGTTTGTCCTTGTTGGTGGCTCTGATCCGGTTGTGTACTTTGCATAGCACGTGGTATTGGTGGAGGAGGCAGGAGGGGTGACACTGAGAGACAAGGGCAAGATAAATGAGCGGAATTAGAGACCGTTACACAAGTTGTAGACATCATGATTGTACGCATCGAATTGGCTTCAACCTTTCCGGCAGGAGGTGTTAAGATGTTCAAACACCGAAGAGACACACCAATTACAAGGCATCATCAAGTCTGCATTAGCCACACATCACGCGTGTGGTAATACATGCAAGTGGACGTGCTATGATAATGAATGCATGTTTTCCTTTTGGTGAGACACGGCCATATTGGAGGCTGTAGCCCTGGTGTAAGCTAATCATTGTCAAGGATAAAGCATACATTACTATCAGTATTACCAAACCAGTATTTGTTAACATGTTTTACCACAAGCATGATCTGTGGGGAATGCAGACTTGAAGGTGCCTTGGTGTCTTTTTGGTGTATGGACATCTTAACTTCCTGTTTGCATTATTGCTGGAAAGGTTAAAGCCAATAGTTTGCTTCAAATCACGATCAGTTTGACGTGTAGGCTTTCGCGACCAATATAATGATAAAGGTTGCTATGGGTTAGATCGCGTAAGTACAAGTGTGTTGTTAACCCGCCACCACCCAACGCAGCCAATTAGTATGGTTTGCCAGAATTGTGGCAAAATCGTCCGATGATGCTGCTGGATGTAATTTCCAGGAAAACATCACAGTACTCCAATTGTAAATGCTTTGGATTTACTCTCCAACACACCGGTGGGCTGAAGTAGTTACGAATTGGCACGTTTTGTTTACGTTACAAACCATTACTAATTGGCTGCATCGACTGCTGGCGGGTTAACGACACATTTATACTTACGCGATCTAACCCAAAACAAACTCCTCAATTTCGTACAATAATGTCTACAACTTGCGTAACATTCTCCAATTCCGGTCCTTCGTTTTACTGTTGTCTGTCGGTGACATCTCGGAGAAAACAGCAAGATCATCATCACGTGCTATGCAAAGTACACAACAAGGAAATCTGCTGCCCGTGTTGGCTCGCTTGGATGCATGAGGCTCATCGATGCTTGACGGTGCATTCCTAACTTACGTGTTGTGTCCGGAATAATCTCATCATTACTCGCTGCAAAGTACGCCTCCACTTTGTCCACGTAACCCCTCGTTGGCCAACGAAACGCACCTTTGAGTGAAATCACTGTCTCACGACATACGTGGTGACATCGGGCAGGCGAGCAAACGGCAACAGGCAATTCGGTATGTGTAGTATATAATTTAAAAAATATATTACTTTTTACTCCATGCATTGGCTCCACATAAAATATCTGACGTTTGACAGAGGCAAAATTAGGTGTCTGGAGTGAGCCGAACGTTTTTTTATTTTTTTCTTTAAACAAATATGAGGAGAAAGTAGAAGGTAAAAAAAGAAGGCTGAGTTGTATAAAAGTCCTAGACCGAGGAGAAACGATCCACAGCAAATTACCAACTGGTGCTTTTTCTTTTCCAGCACCGGAAAAGCATGGACATGGGCCGCTTGGTCCCGCCATCCCGGCTTCTGTCCGGATCATCGCAGCTGCTGCTGCTGATGCTGATGCTCGGCACGGTAAGTTGGACACCACTGCTTGTGGGGCATCGGGGCGAAGGGGCTGGAATAAGATTAATTTCATAAGTTTGACGACGAGTTGGGGTGCGGGGGGGGGACTGAAACGGGATTTGATTTGAGGACAATAAGGGTCAGCCTCGGATGCCAAAGTTTTGCGTCACAGTTTGAGGGTTTGTGGGCTCTCGTCATTTCGACGAACAAATGGGCATCCCTTTGAATCGTTTGTTGGACGTTGAACTTCTGTCGCATCCGTGGGAGTCAACGAGGTGCTTATTCCCTGGCTCTGTCGGGAGAAGGCAGAACAGCAGCAAAGTGTGTGGACTAATCTCCATCTGTCCCACACTCCATAACCTTGTACCTGTGAGTGGGCGTCGACGAGGTGATTATACTCCTGGCTGTCCCAGCAGAAGGCAGCGCAGCAAGTGGAGTACTCCTAATCTCGATCCATATGTACAGTGGGGGGGGGGGGGGGTGGTGGGGGGGATAGAGCATTGCCCCCTCGCGCAAGGCATGGTGTTTTTTTCCCGGGTGCTCCGGTTTCCTCTTACCCCACGTGGATAACGACTCATTATTGTTCATTAGCATCATACTTCTTCCTTCAAAATAATATTCTGAAGCAGAAGATTAGTGCCCTGGACACAGCAGTCACGTTTGCAAATGTGATTCTTAAAAATGTATCGATCATTTAATTTTAGCGTACAATTTAATTGAGCGACTGTGTGTTGTCTTGGTGTGGTCTGGGACTGTCTTTGCTGTTGTTTTACTGCCTTACCAAGCTAGGGAATGGATGCACTAAAGCAATTTGAACTTAAATATATTGTATTTTATTTAAGGGGCGCTGTGGTACAATAAAAGCAGACTGCGACGGAATCACTGATCTTTCTGAAATTAGCCAATCAAATGAAGGGGGAGTGTGTCACATAATCACTAGATCCATAGATCGATTGGCAATGCATCGACAATAGCGATTAACTCGCAAAATACTATAAATCAGTTATTGTTGATGCTTGTTTATTACATTCTTACTAGTTCATAAAGCCCATCTTTACAAGGCAAACGTTTTCAATAAATATAATAATTAACCTAATGTGATTTTTTTAAAATCTACGATCAGACACTAACTACTCCAAAAAAGGGTATTTTCCACTAAAAAAATTGTTGACAGGTTTATTCAACTTATATTCAAAGACGTACACATCAGAAACCGCTCAATATAAATATTCCATTATTTTTTTATTAGAAGGATTTTTTTTGTTTAATCTTAATTCTCTGAGGGGAATCTCTCATATCTTCTACCGTTTTCAAATTATTCAGATGTTAACATCATAAAATGCGGAATTTTCCATTCAAACCGCTTGAATCCTAAAAATCTCAAAAACAATAAAATACAGAACTCCCATGATTAGTAGATACTACGACAGTCAGTATTTGCAACTACAGAGTTAGTAGCTACTGCTATAGAGTCAGCAGATACTGCAGTAGAATCAGCAGATACTACTATAGAGTCAGTAGATACTACTGTAGATTCGGTATATACTACTTCAGTAAATAGAGGCTACTGTAGACTCAGTAGATACAACTGTATAGTCAGTAGATACTACGACAGTCAGTATATTCAACTATAGAGTCAATAGCTACTGCTATAGAGTCAGCAGATACCGCTGTAAAGTCAGCAGATACTAATATAGAGTTAGTAGTTACTGCTACAGTCAGTGGATACTACTATAGATTCAGAAGATACTACTATAGTCATTAGACACTACTGTAGAGTCAGTTACTACTATAGAGTCAGTAGATATTACTACAGTCAGTAGATACCACGACAGTTAGTATTTACTGCTGCAGAGTCAGTAGATACGACTATAGCATCATTAGATACTACTACATAGTCAGCAGATACTACTATATAATTAGCAGTTACTACTATAATCAGCAGATACTACTATAGAGTACTAATATAGTCATTAGATACTACTGTAGAGTCAGTAGGTACTACTATAGAGTCGGTAGATGCTACTAGAGAGTCGGTGAATACTAATGTAGAGTCAGCAGAGTTAGTAGTTCGTACTATAGTCAGTAGATACTACTATACAGTCGGCATATACTACTATAGAGTCGGTAGATACTGCTACAGTCACTAGATACTACTATAGTCAGTAGATCCTGCTATAGTCACTAGATACTACTATTCTAAGTAGATACTACTGTAAAGTCAGTAGATACAACTACAGTCAGCAGATACTACGATAGAGTCAGTAGATACTAATATAGTCAATAGATACCACTATAGAGTCACTAGATACTAGTGACTGTCTTGTATATACAGGGGGGGTAACATATTTTTTTAGTGGGGGGGGGGGGTGTCTACAATTTTTTGAAACCTTTTAGATCAACTATTTACCCCCCACTTCATATTACTTTTTGATTCAGCACTTCTGCATGCCTCTAATAATTTTGCTGACGAGCAAATGGACAGACTAGCGGAATGCCAGTTTTTCACAATAGCTTAGTGTTTGTGTAAGTATGCATTATGTTTTTAATAAAAGGCTAGTTTTTTATTTATTTTTCCCCCGCACAAGGCCGGGTACTTCCTGCTAGTTTAAGATAAAACGTGCAATTTCAGGATTGCTGCCCAAGCAACTTTGAGCTGGGTGCTAGATCGACTCAGCAGAATCGATTACAATTAGCCTCGATTCACGAGCCCCAACGACAATATTTAGCCATTGACACGCCCCCTCGGCTAACATCACGCCCACTTTATTCCATCTATGGGCAAATCTCGGATTGGTAATTTCGTCGGGTGTTCGACTTTATCGCTCTATTACAGCACCACGGTAATTTGGGTGGTGTGACATTATCTTCCTCACCTGTTGGTTCAATTCCCACCCTGATGCCTGCATATTTGGAGTTTTAATTTTCTCCCCATGGTCATGTGGATTTTTTTCTCTGGGTCCTACGGTTTTTGTCTCCACTTTTATAAACATGCGTTTAGATTATTTAGATTATTGTGCTAGTATAAATGTCCATATGATGAGCCACTTCGTTGAGCTGTCATTTCTGGACAGGTCGCTTTTGAAAAATAAGCTTATAGCCCAGTGGTCTTTACCTGGTAAAATAAGAAAAAGTTCATTTTTATTTGTATATATTTTTCAAAATGATTTGATTACCTCTCCGATGCTTTACACTCCTATCATGGGTTTGAATTTTGTTTGGTGTTGTAACATTCTGACTCACTCCTACTGGACATCTGTGAAAAAGATATGTAAAGTTTATTGGATTCATCCAGTATAAATTAATATTCTGATCTGATTCTGATATATGTAATCCTTCCATGACGAAATTTTGAGTCATTATTAGTTTATTTTGGGTTTTAGATTGGTTGCCATGTACATATAACGGCAGTTTATTTTTTTTTACTTTAACCCTTCACCACCCGACAACTGTGAAAAAGAGCTTTAAATTTCATCGGATTCGTCCAGTACACATAAATATTCTTATTCTGATTTGCAACACAGATTCATATTGCTCTCAGCACCATTTATTTCACTTTTAACGCCTCATTAAATTCTCTGTTAGGTATACATGTTGAACTTCTTTTGCTCCATATGTAGCCATTGCGCTAATATCCAAAGGAATTCGCCTCTTTCAATGCCCTGTGCCCACATTCTATCACTCGATCTTGCTTCGTATGTGTATGTATGGTAAACTTATTTCACACCATACATAGCCAACCGTGCTAACCGAGAGGTGCTTCATAGACTGCGCTACAATACCACCACACTGTTCATGGTAATAATCTTACCACTAAACTCTCACCACTTTCACAACCCCATTAGCCCTCCGAGTACAAAAGCACACTCCTTGAGAAACAAAAATGTATTGTAGAATTGGAAAAAAGAATCTGACCTCAAAGTCCGCAGCCAGATCTGGAAGGATCACATTAAACCAAATTATTCAGCCTCAGACAGATCCATACCTTGACTGAAAGCTTTCGTGACTGCAAGAATTCAAATTCTTTGGTTCTTTCAGTAAAGTCACGTAGATAGGTTCAAAGAAAAGAAAACTAAAAATAACAAAAAACTACGACGTTTCGATTGCAACACAAGCGTTCGTCATCAGGAAGAAACCTATCTACGTGACTTTTCCGAAAGACCCAAAGAATAGGTCCATACCTGACTTATTCTACTGTGCTCCCATCACAAATGGTGCTCTGTGGCAGGGCGGGTGTGAAAGTGCTGCCCCCTGCTGTGTAAAAGAGAGATCGCTTGAAGGGATATCAAAAGTAGCTCGGTGGTATCGTTGCCGTTGAGCGCTCTTTGACACGAAGAGTTGCACTGGTCTGCGAAGTTCTAATTAGATGCTTAATTGTTGTGACATGGTGCCGATGATAAACAATGGCAATACATCTGATGGAAATTACAGTATTGTTAATCAATGTTTTTTGGGTGAGATCCCATAAGTATAAATGCGTCGTTAACCTCTCACCGCCCGACATAGCCAATTAGTAAAGTTTGACACTTAAACAAAACGTGCCAATTAGTTACTACTTAAGCACACCGGTGTATTGGAAGCTAAATCCATAACATTTGCAATTAGAGTACTGTAAAATTTCGCTGATGATTACAGCATCATTGGGAATTTTTGCCAAACTTGTTGTGGCAAGCCTTACTAATTGGCTGTGTTGGGTGGTGGCGGGTTAACGACACATTTATACTTACGTGATCTAACCCAAAAAACCCGTTATTATGAATAAGACAAAGTCACGTAGAAGGGAAACAATAAAATAATAAAAATATAAAGCAATAAAATTCTCACGACGTTTCGACTGCAACACAAGCAATCATCATCACACCTCATCACACCTGATGATGATTGCTTGTGTTGCAGTCGAAACGTCGTGATAATTTTATTGTTTTATATTTGTATTATTTTATTGTTTCCCTTCTACGTGACTTTACCGAAATAACCAAGAATATGAATCCCTGCAGTCACGAAAGTTTTAGATCAAAAAATTAATAAGACAGTATCGGTGAGTAAATTCGTGATTAACAAGCTGACGTTACAATGGTGCATGCTAAATTTTAATGGTGCGGTTGTTGCTGTTGCCCTAGGTTGCAAGAGTTGCAAATGGTTGTCAGATATCAGGTAAGCCCTGCAACCATTCATTGCCCTGTAAAACATAGCCTCGCCATTTCCTGTGCTCACGGTCAGCGAAACAAAATATATTTTGGGGCAAACGCGGAGGAGGATCCTAGAAATGGAGATATAGAAAGACACGCTCAGACAGGATGCTATCTAAACAGATAAGACACACACACAGAGACAAGATGCGAGCCAAACAGATAGGACACACACAGAGCAGTAGCGTAACTATAAGCGAAAAACTTTTTTTTATTTACCAGGTAAGGCCCATTGAACTATATCGCTCTTTTTCAGAAGCGACCTGGCTATCAAAAATTATAGCTCAACGTATAAATTTAAAGCAGCCGTAAAATACCCTAAATGCATGAATGTTGATTCTAAATTTGGAGGGAAAAACCAGAGGACCCAGTTGAAAAAATCACACGCCCACGGAAAGAGAGAATACAAACTCCAAATATACAGGCGTCAGGGTCGGGATGAAATCCACGACCTCATAAATAGCAGGTGAGGTAGTTAACATATCCTAGCCACCATGGCGCCAAGCGTGGGGGCAGGGGCCGCCTTGGCCCACAGGTAGCCAAAGCTATGAGCTGGGGCCCTCTTGTCAACCACAATGAGATTTGTTTTCAATAACAGTGTCAATTGCGGTTTCAATGTATTTTCATGAAAATGCTTTCACATTAGAACTCCGTTTCTGGGAAATTTATTTAATTAGATACGCGACAATTATAATGCAAAGAGGCACTACGGAGCTGCTGTGGCTGCATTTTGCAAAGACGGAGCGCGCCTACGGCGTTAAATATTTGAGACAACGCGAGTGTAATTACGATGTGGTTAGGACAAAAGGAGCTACGATATCGAATAGCCTCTATGTGCCACCGTGCGAAGAGATAAATCACGATATTTGGGACCCCACCTGATCGATTTCCGCACCCCCTGAGCTGATGATGTTGCTAATATGCCACTGACATAGAGACAATGAGAGAGGCCAGGAGATGGGCACACATAGACGCAGAGACAAAGATTCCCGGTATTAGCTTAACAAACTGTTGGGGAAAGTGCTGTTAGCGAGTAGCAGCGCCTATGAAGGCCGGAATGGCACATGATGGGGTTGGTGGTGAGGTTATCACCGTACCCAGCCACCTTTGCGACAGGCCTAGAGAGATAGGCATAGGAAAAATGAGACAGACATACGCAGAGGGCCAACGAGAGAATGGGTGAGAGATTAACACAGTTAGGGCAGGCAAATAATGAAAACAGCAGACATGGGAATAATCGGAGGCAAAAAAGGGAGACTGAGGCACGCGGAGATAAACACAGAGAAAAAGATACACTGAGACCCTGAGAGATCCTTACGCAGCTAGACGAGAACATGAGCACAGTGCGAGCGATTCATTAATGGTGTGAGATGCAGTTTAACATTTTCAATGAACTCCTTGTATTTATGATGGAGGAAGCATTGCCTTCGTGAAAAAATGGAATTGTCCTAAGGTTGTCGTGGTGTGGAAAACCATGAGATATCGTTTAAGGTAAGGTCCAAGATAAGTGTTTAATCTGTTTTGTTAAATTGTTTTATCGCGATTGGTATGCAAAGCATTTTTTAAATATAAAATGACAAACCCAATAAAGTTAAGGTAAAACCGAATAAGTATTATTTGCTTTGCAAAATGTTCGCGGTTTTATGTGATAATTGATTAACTTGATTATTATTTGTGTAACTGACACTGACAACATCTGCGTCATCGATTGTAAAGATCAATGGTTAGTCTCCTCATGGCTGACGTCGAACTGAAGTTGAACTTTAAATGGCAACAATTTAGACTTTAAACTTTCGTGGCTGCAGGAATTCATATTTTTGATTATTTTCTTAAAGTCACGTAGATAGAAAATAAAAAATAAAATTAAATAAAGTTTTAAAATAAATTGAAAGTAATAAAGCAAAAAAAACCCATGACGTTTCGATCGCAACACGAGCGTTTTTTTCCCTCTCCGCCTGATGAAGACCGTTTGTTTTGCGATCGAAACGTCGTGGTTTTTTTGCTTTTATTTTAATATTTATTATTTTTATTTGCTATCTTCGTGACTTTTTTGAAAGAACCAAGAAAATGTAAGTGGCATCACAAAAACTATGCACATTTAATTCAATATTTGTGGACAACTCATGCAATGGTGATCGTCGTATTGTTGAAATGTATTAACCTAACACGTTAGTTTCCGCAGTCAATACGATTCATAATATATTTTTGGAGTGGGCCATGCAATTATCTGACCAAACTTCTGTCGTAAAAGCCGTCCACCACCCAACGCGGCCCATTAAGAAAAGGTTTTGTCGCATGTTGTACAAGCATATAAACGAATGGGTACTTTGCCGGTTCGCTGATGTAACCAGCAAAATCAGACGGTTTCAGGAATTGTAGAAACGGCCTAATGATGGTGGCTGTAACTCTCAGCGAATCAGCGAACAATATCCAATAGTGAAATTTTGCGTCATTGGCTCTCCAACGCACCGGTCATCACGTGGCAACTTCATTAAATTGGCCGTGTCGGTTGGAGGACGGTTCACAGACGCAACATTTTACTCACGCGACGATAAATCAATCACGATCCTTGACGTCCACTGCTGGCTGAGGACACAGCGGTGGAGACGACAGCTGGCCAGAACTTGTTAAAAATTTGTTACAGTGCGTGGGTTCGTTCGTTTCTCAGTCCGCTTGTCGTGGTGAGGGTCGTGGCGGTAGCGTCTTGAGTAGTAGCGGCCCAGATCCTTTCCCTGGCGACGTACTTCAGCACTACTATACACTGCATTAATATACACTACTATACACTGCACTACGATTCACTACTATACGATACACTACTATACACTACTATACACATACTTTAGCTCTTCCTTGAGAATTCCCAGGCGTTCCCAGGCCAGCCGATCGACGTAGTCCCACCAGCGTGTCTTGGGCCGGCCCCGGGGTTACAGTGCATTTTTTTTCATATTACAACGATTAGACACGGAGGTGGGGAGTGGTGGCACAGTGGTTAGTGCACTCGCTATGAACCCTGTGATCCGAATTATATATCCGGCCATGAATAGCATCCGTTTGACAGTAATATCTGAACTGTTTCTGCCAAATCTTGGCAGAAGCTCTATCTCCTACCCTTTCACCAATCCAGAATTATCAGCATATTTATTTATACTGGAGGAATCCATTGAGATATGAATTTATTTTTCACATGCCTATGACACAGGGGAGGTGGCCTTTAAGGAGCAGAGGACTTACAAAAGATTGTTATTTGTCATTGTTATTACTTTGTTTACTAAGATACTTGTGCATTCATTATAACTGAAGGAGTGCAGGTGAGTGCCAGAAGTGAAACAACGATCACAGTCACGTGGACGGAGGTCGGCGTGGACGCCACCAGCTACGTCTTACAATTGTATGATCGGTCGACATTCACAAACTCCCCCTTCACCATCTATGGGAGTGCCTCCAACTTCACATTCACGGGGCTGGTGCCTAACAGATACTACAGCATTTACATAACTGTCAACTGCATTGGCACAAGATACGTCTCTTCCACCGTGTACGACAGCACATGTGAGTGACCTGCTGCGAGATGGCACCGCAATAGAGAGTTTCAATTTCCTTATCACAATTTGTAAAAAAAAAAGTTTTTCTGGCTGGATGGCTGGCTTCCTTCCTGGTTGGCTAGCTGCCAGGGTTGGGGTGGGGGGGACATACAGATGGTTATGTACAAAGGATGTGCCGGTTGCTATTTATAAAGAAAATAAAACATTTTCCCGTCAATTGCATTTAGTAATCGAGTGGCCCTTTGAAGTCCTCCCATCGTCATCGAGTAACACCACCAGTCAGATGAAAGAGGGTAGAAGCCGCCTTGAGGGATGTGGGTTCCATGCAGTGGGGAATGGAGGTCGAGACTGGGATGCCGCTAATTCCTCACCAAAGACAAAAAACCTGGATAGACTGTTGGGGCAAGTACTGTTGGCAAGTAGTGGCACCTATGAAGATCGGCAAGGAAACACGAGGCGATGGATGACCAACACCATGCCCGACCGCCTTTGTCTTTGCAATGGTGATATTAACACACCGCAACAGGTACTCATTTGAGGCTGAACGACCTAGGGGAGGCCCATGACGGGTTCAGATAATCGTCACTGATGTTGGCCCTGAGTGGGAACCGAACTCGGGTCGCCGGGTTCATAGCTCAGTGCGCAAACCGCTACACCAGCGGTCCCCAACATTTTTGGCACTAGGGACCGGTTTCGTGGAAGACAATTTTTTTACGGACTGGTGGAGGGGGCGCGGTTCATCATTAGGTCTTTCACCCTTATCAAAGAAGCTCTCCAGCTACGTTTATTTTTTACTCATTTTGGCTCGAGTTAGCTTGTGGGATTACCAAAACTGTGACCGATACAAGTGCACGGTGCGGAAAAGAGGCGCAGATGGAAGTGGTAAATAAAATAATGGGCGGGCCATGCGTGGACTAAAATAAGTGTCGGATTCCGACTTCTCATAAGGAGTGCACAACCTAGATCCCTCGCAGTTCACAGTAGGATTCGCGCTCCTATGAGAATCTAATGCCGCCGCTGATCTGACAGGAGGTGGAGCTCAGACGGTAATGCGAGTGATGGGGAGTGGCTGTCAATACAGATGACGAACCTTCGCTCGCTCGCCCACTGTTCACCTCCTGCTGTGCGGCCCGGTTCCTAACAGGCCGCGGACTGCTATCGGTCCGCGGCCCGGGGGTTGGGGACCCCTGCGCTACACTACCGCCACACATGCATACACAGCTGTCTGGACATCATACGGCCGGGGCCCTGCTGTTAGAAGTGTCTGTGCAAGTGTGTATTCAAATTTGCATCACTCCCATATCATTTGTACCATCATATAATACTATGCTATATTATTAAAGGTTTGTTGGCTAGCTGCCTGGCTGGCTGGAGGAAAGGGAGGTGTCATGTCCAATAGGGGCACGTGGGGTGCTAGTACAGCTCAAATACAATGCACTATCAAAGTAATGAGGACTCGGGGTAAGCATCTACATCATTAGACCTCCTTTGCCAGTACCAAAATATAATAGGGTTTTTCCTCTTTTTTTCTGGCAACAAAACTCAAACCTTTTTTTAAAGGAATCATGTGTGCATTAACCACAATACTTGTGGTCAAAATGCAAACAAAATATACACTTTGATAATATATCCATTGTCCTTGTAACTGATTGGTCCACACCAGAGACAGCTTTCTTTTGAGCCTCGTCTCAATTGGTTCTAGACCAGAGGACGCCAAAATGCGTACAGCTCAAAGACAATGCACTATCAAAGTAATGAGGGCTCGGGGTAAGCATCTACATCATTAATGTGTATTTTGTTTGCATTTTGACCACAAGTGTTGTGGTTAATGCACACATGATTCCTTGTAAAAAGGTTTCAGTTTTGTTGCCAGAAAAAAGGGGAAAAACCCTATTATATTTTGTACTGGCAAAGGAGGTCTAATGATGTAAAAACGTGTTGACGAAAACAAAAAAGAGATGAATGCACTTCAAAGCGAAAAGAAACGTAAACTGGGAAATCGAAATGTACTGAATAATGCTATATGTTGAAAAACAGTGAACATGTTGCTGATATTACTAATCAACTTTCTAATGCTGTTTCTCAGTGCCACCCAAAGTCAATGTGACAATTACTAGCAAGACAATGACAAGCATGAGCTTCTCGTGGGAGGTTTCTTCCTCCAATTTGTACTACAATGCTCGCTTGAAAGACAATAACAACATAAACCAGTCCTCGTATGTGCTGTCCACGGGTAGCGTCACATACACCAATCTGATTCCTGACACAAACTACTACGCATATGTGGAGACGAGAAATTTGTATTGCTCCCAAGGATCTGATGTGGTCATGGATAGAACTTGTAAGTATTTTCAAATCTGCAATTCAATGTCATTCCAATGTCATGAGCAAGGGCTTGAGGACGTGTAACAATAATTTCTGTTTACATGAACGTATTGGCTGTACACTGGCGGTGCACGGTATATAAAAACACGTTTTTGCGCAATCATTATTTATTTTCTCGCGATTTGCAAACCGCCAGTCGTGGTGGTGTGTCAAAATCAGTTCTCGCGATGCCAAAGCGGTGGGAAGACGGAACGTTAAGTGAGCAGGGCTGAACACGAAGCTTTGCAGTCTGTTGCCATATAGCAGCGCCCAGCCTGATGACAGTCGACTGCTCCGTGCTCCAAAAAGGCAAGACTGGACTCCTTGTGTCCTTAGAGACTTGGTCGGCCGGTTTCTCGATTAATTTTCGGAATAATTTATTTGGCGGACGGTGGCATCAAAAGATTACGACTCGTGGTGTCACCACCGAACGTTTGAATGGGGGACGCGGCTGCTGAATCTGCGTGCAACTTCTGATGGAGAGTCCTGCAGCTCACTCAAGGGGCAACAGCGGTATCGTCAGGACATTGACGAATCAGAATAGGTTTTATCCTTTATGGCAATAAGACAGGAGATGTTAAGCTGTTCAAATACCATATTGATTATACCTTTTGCAAGGAATCAAGTCTGCATTACGCACACGTACTTGTGGCGAACATGCAAACAGACAAGCCCTGACAATAATGACATTGTCAGGACTGTTGCATGAGGACCGGTGCATTATGCTGCAACTGGTGTACCGCCAATACGTCCAAATGTATATAAACATAAATGTTTACTTATATATTAACACGACGTGGTACAGGACGTGCTTCCTCTTCCTCCTCAGTCTTTGTATTGGCATATTTTGCGTGCAAAGCATCATTTCACTCCATTCTCTTTTTCACTCGCCATCTCTTTCTCCATATTAGTTGGGTCTTTCGGTAAAGTCACGTCGATAAGTTCAATAAAAATAGCAAAAAAATTGCGAAAAACTCCGACGTTTCGATCGCAACACAACCGGTCGTCATCAGATGACATCAGGTGACGACCGCTTGTGTAGCGATTGAAACGTCGTAGTTTTTTTCGTTGCTTTTTGTTATCTTCTTTGAACCTATCTACGTGACTTTACCAAAAGACCAAAACAATATTAATGCCTGCAGTCACGAAAGCTTTAAGGCAAGATCTCTCTCTCTCTCACACACTCAATATTGAAATAAATAACTGTCACACATAGCGTATTCATATAGACACAACACATTTAAAATGAAACATGTAAAAATCGCGTACTGTCAAATTAAAACAAGCATAATTTACGGGGCTGGAATGGCACCCCCCCCCCCTCGCCTCCCGCCTACCTTCACCACCGTTTTTCCTTGTGGGAAAATTACTCCCAGCTCAAAGAAAATGTCTGGAACGCAACCCCCCCTCGTGAAGCGGTGGACTTGCTGTATGTTGGGAAAAACAAGTGTGCAACAACGTTGGAAGTTCTTAAACATCCCGAACATTCATTCATGCACCGCATTTCCCAGGTCTGTAAGACCTGAAAGACCCGAGGACCCTCGCTGTAGTATTGACAGACTGTTGGAGCAAGTGTAGGGGTGCTATGGGGAATAAACACATGACACGGGAAGGTGTGGTTCACCCACACCTTGGTGGCTACAACAACGTCCGCTAAGGCTCCAGTGGGTATAAAGTGCGGGGAGCCAGGGAGCTCGGGGCAGAGTGTGGGGCCCGAGGCTGAAGCAACCAGTGAAGAAAGAAGGCCAGCTAGGTGAGACCCTGGAACTCCTGTGACCGCTGCCCTTTTCAGGGCCGGCACAGCAAGCCAGTGGTGCGGCCCCAGAGCCCCAGAGTCAGAGTCCTTCTAAGGGCCGGTCTGGTCGGCGGGGTGCCGAGATCTGTGCCTAACCAGGGCCGGATCTGATAGCCTCCCTTAGAGCCCTACCAGGAGGAACTGGGAGCCTAGAGCTTAGGCCAGAGAGCCTGGGGTGTGTTCCTGAGTTATACGGGTGGAGGGGCCGCTACCCCTTCTAGTGTAACCCTTGTTAAGGTTTAAATAAATAGTGCTGCTTCTATTCTGCCGTCTCCGTGTCCTGGAACCCACTACAACTGGTGTCAGAAGTGGCCTTAAAATGGACACAAGGAGTACAAACCGATCACAGGAACCCCAGGAGGAGGACGGCTCGCCTGGGATTGCGCCAGAGGCCGCGGCCGACGATCCTGGGATGTCCCAGACGCCCCAACAGCAGCCGCCGCTGGAGGAGTGGCCGCCGATGGAGGACGGGTTGCAGGCGGCTCACTCTCAACTGGCTGAGCTGCTGTATGCCGCGGCTTCCACGCTGGAGGAAATCAACCGCGCGGGGCTGCGGGCGCAAAGGCGGCAGAGAGACGAACGCCGTTCAACGGCCATTCCCGCCGAAACACAGCCACCAGATTTCGGATTTGCCGCCATGACAGTGTCCGCCACGGCGATTGGAGGGTCGCAGCGCCACGTGGACGCTGTGGGCCAATCAGCGGTGGTGACGTCATCACCAACGGACGCCCGCTGTCAGGACCAATCGGCGGGCGCATCGTCATCACCTGCGCGACCGCCGATGGGTGTCCTCAGCCCCTCAGACACCGGGGGAGAGGCCGGAAATGGCGCGCGGCACCTCTCAGAGACGAAGCCATCGTTTCAACAACGCCTGCCGGTGTTGAAGGAGTTCGTTTCAGACGGCGGCGACTGGGGGGCCTTTCAACGCCGCTTTCTCGCTCATCAAGAGATGGCCGGCTGGACGGACAACGAGGCGTTGAGTGCGCTACCGGCCATGCTGGACGATGACGCCCTTGCTACGCTCATCACAGCTCCCAGATCAACGCGATCTACGCTACAGTCGGCGCTCCAGGTCCTCACCATAGTCTACGGGCCATCGTCGGACTGCCGCAAACTCTTCCACGAGCGGTGCAGGGGCCAGAAGGAGCCACCGCTGGCGTATCGCACGGCTCTCCTGGCCCTCGCAAAAGCGGCTTTCCCGCGGATGGACGGCGAAGGGGTGGACGCGATGGTGACGGAGAAGCTCCTGGCGTTGGCCCAGGAGCTACAGATCGTCATCGTCGCAGAGGACGACGCGGACATGTGCTCCTTGCGGGCAGCAAGACACATCCACGCGCACCTGATAGCGCAGCGTCGATCACCTCTCGTCCCCAAGGGCGCAGCTGCGGTGTGCGCTGGGACGCCGACCATCCCCCCCTCCGAGGAGGTCTTCGCGGCGGGTCGCCCGGTGGAGTGGAGATCCGGAGGGAGGCCGGCTCGGACCACACCGGATCGCCAGGAGCACCCCAAGGCGCTCATCACGTGCTACAACTGTGGCCGCAAGGGCCACGTGGCTGCGGAATGCCGGGCGCCTCGTCAACGACAGCCGGGACGGTCGGACGGCGCTCCAGCCTACAGGCCTCCGCATCGCAACCCGGCAAGTCGCGGCACCCCACATGCTCGGCCTGTGCACACACCTGTCCCCACCTCGCGCGTTTCGGTGTACGGGCCTCGGGGTACGCCCATTGGTTTGTTGGGTGGCGGCGGGGTCGAGAGGGTGCTCGGGCCGGGGCAGTGGACGGAATTGGCCCACCGCATTGTTGCTGCGTCGGCAGGCTCGTCCGTGGTCGCGGGTCACATTGACGGGGTCGAGGTGCGTATCCTCGTCGATACGGGAGCTTCGGCGACCATTGTGTCAGACTTGATTTATAATATTCTTCCCGTTCAAAGCCGCCCCTTGCTCCCAGTCACCGTTCCATGTTACGCAGCGAACGGGGGTTCGCTGGGTATCATAGGCCAAATTCGAGCACAAATTTGCATTGGCGATATCAAACTCTCCGGGCCGATATTAGTCTCGTCCTCGCTGGCGGTTCCGTGCTTGTTGGGGACGGACTTTTTGGGCAAAATGCCGATTAAAATTCTAATTGATCAGGGTTGCATCGAGCTTCCCTCGGGCCGACGGGTAACATTCCTGCCTTCCCCTGTCACCTCAAGGGCAGCGTGCGCGTCGATACAAGCGTTCGTCACTCGGACGGTGCGTGTACCTCCCGGGGCGCAAATGCTCGTGCCCCTTCGCTTGCGTCGGCCTTTCGTGCCCGGTGTTCTGGACCAGGGAATTCTGTTAGGGCCCTCGAGGGCTGGGGAAAACGGGCTGGATCTGGTGGCCGCTCAAACGCTCGTTAAGGGGAGCGATGACCCGTTTATCCTCGTCCTTAACGTTGGCGTACAGACGGCCGTCGTTCCTCAGGGAACTGTGCTCGCGCACGCGACACCGGTCCCCGTGGTAGACACGGTTATGGGTAATGTGGGGACCGATCCTCTGGCTCAACCGCATTCTGAGGGGGACGATAGTTGGATGGACACACTATGTTCGGGCACGAGTGATCTGTCCGACTCCCAGCGTGCCGGCCTACGCACCCTTCTGACGGAATTTTCCGATGTTTTTAGTAAACACAAATATGACATTGGGTGCACGAAATTGTTGCGTCACCACATTGACACGGGTGACAATGCCCCGGTACGCCAGAATCCTTTTCGGTTAAGTCCGGCCGAAAAAGATCATGTCAAATTGGCAGTGGATGACATGCTGGCTGCAGACATTATAGCCCCTTCCACCAGTCCATGGGTAGCACCCATAGTGCTTGTCAAAAAGCACGATGGGTCCTTGCGATTCTGTGTGGATTTTCGCCGCCTTAATAAGATCTCCGTGGCCGACGCGTATCCACTTCCCCGGATGGACGAATCTCTGGATGCTCTGGCTGGCGCACGTTTTTTTTCTACGTTGGACTTGTTATCCGGATTTTGGCAACTCCCATTGGATGATGAGTCCAAGCCAAAGACTGCGTTTCGCACACCACACGGCCTATTCCAATTTAACCGGTTACCTATGGGATTACACTCCGCTCCGGCGACATTTCAGCGCCTTATGGAACTGGTTTTGGCTGGCTTACAGTGGAACGTCTGTTTGATCTATCTGGATGACGTCATCGTGTTCAGCAAGACATTTGACGAACACCTTTTGCGCTTGCGCGCCGTGTTCCTCAAAATGCGTGCTGCGAATTTGAAATTTAAGCCGCAAAAGTGCCACCTGCTACGGGAATCCGTACGCTATTTGGGGCACATCGTCAGCCGCTCGGGCATATCCACCGATCCCGCAAAGACGCAGTGTGTCAACTCCTGGCCAACCCCCACCTCGGTGGCTGAGGTCAGGAGTTTCATTGGATTTGCGTCTTATTACCGGCGGTTCGTCGCGGATTTCGCGACCATTGCTAAGCCCTTACACGCTCTGACGGCGAAGGGAGTGAAATTTCACTGGGGCCAGGAGGAGGAGGTCGCTTTTTGTTCCCTTCGCGACGCTCTCGTGCGGGCCCCTCCATTGAGCTACCCCGATTTTTCGGAACCCTTCCTGCTCGATACAGACGCCAGCAATACGGGCATTGGGGGTGTGCTCTCACAGGTGATCTGTGGTGTGGAACGCGTCGTGGCTTATGGCAGTAGGGTTTTGTCTCCGGCGGAACAGAGATACTGCGTCACGCGTCGGGAACTCTTGGCTATTGTATTTTTTATGCAACAGTATCGCCCATACCTGTACGGTCGGCATTTCACTGTCCGTACGGACCATGCGGCATTACAATATGCCTTGCGGGTGACACAGCCTTCGGGGCAATTGTCCCGATGGCTCGAAATCCTTCAGGATTATGATTTCACGACCACATATCGGAAGGGTGCTCGGCACACTAATGCGGATGCGCTGTCTCGCCTGCCGCCCGCCTCAGATTGCGCTTGTCTCAGGGGATCGGGGCGTTGTAAGCCGCCAGAGGATAGCCCCCCCTTAGATATCCCGGTTCTCGCTGCTGCCACTGAGGACCCCTTGCCTGAGGGTCCTGTCGGGGAGGGAGGTGCGGACTCCTTGCTGGGGTTGTCCGTTGCTGAATGGGGGCGCCTCCAGATGGAGGACGCATCCCTCCTCGCGTTGCGTCGTCGCGCAGGGGGTTCCGTGCGGGGGGTCGCGGGGATTGATTCATACGGGCTGCTCCAGGGGCTCCTAATGCATTGGGATGGGAGGGCCTGCCGTCACAGGCTTGTGGTGCCATCCG